GCTTAGAGGGAACTGAGCATCCAGCCCCGTATCTCGTCTTCCGACAGTGGCCAATGCCAGATGCTTCAGAGGGAATGAACAAAACAGGGCAATTATCAAATGATCCACCCCCTATCATTCAGTCCCAGCATCTGGCAATCAGAGGCTTAGGGACAGCCAGAGCATGGGGTTGCATTCCTGACCATATTGGCTAATAGCCATTGATGGACCTATCATCCATGAACTTACCTAATTCTTTTTTGAACCCTGTTATAGCTGTGTTGACTGTGTCCCAACAAAACGTGTTCATCTATGTGTCTGATAATTCTGTTCTTTACTAAGTTTCAACCAGTTTGCCCGGTACTGAAGTCAGGCTTACTGGCCAGTAATTGCTGGGATCACCTCTGGAGCCCTTTTTAAAAATTGGCATCACATTAGCTATCCTTCAGTCATCTGGTACAGAAGCTGATTTAAGTGATAGGTTACAAACCACAGTTAGTAGTGCTGCAATTTCATATTTGAGTTCCACTAGAACTCCTGAAAGAAGACCATCTGGTTCTGGTGACTTATTACTGTTTAATTTATCAATTTGCTCCAAAGCTTTCTCTACTGACACCTCAATCTGGGACAGTTCCTCAGATTTGTCACCTAAGAAGAATGGCTCAGGTGTGGGAGTCTCCCTCACATCCTCTGCGGTGAAGACCAATGCAAATAATTCATTTAGCTTCTCTGCAATGACCTTGTCTTCTCTGACTGCTCCTTTTCAGTGTCACTGCATTACAGTATACTGTCTCACATCTTGTAAGTGTGGCCTACATTCTTTGTTCTTAGATGTTGCAGTGTTAAAATGCATGTTATTCAAATGAGCCCATCATACCAAGTGATCCATATCTGTCTATATAACTGACCTGTCCCACCATTATTCACCACTCCACCAATTTCTGTGTTAGACTATGTGACACACACCAAGGAATTACATTTCCACCAATGAAATGAAACTGAGATGAGAAAAGCTGCCATGCTGTCCACGTGCTTTCTTCAGCAACAGTACCGGATTTACCATTTACCTCCCCCACCTCTTCCCCGGAGGGTGCTACGTTCCCTCCCCTCCCCCTCTCCTTCCCGCCGATCAGCTGTTTGCTGGCAGGAGGGAGGGGGAGGAGCGGATACACAGCATGCTCGCCCGCTCCAGTGAGGAGAAGAGGCAGGGGCAGGGCCTTGGGGAAGGAGCTGGAATTGGGGCATACCCCCTCCAGCCCCTTGCCGTGAACACCCCCACAACCCCAGCCCATACCCCTAGCCCTCTGCCCACCCTGACCCCTGCACCCCCTCATGTAGCCCCTGCCCTGATCCCTGTACCCCCACCCCCCACAGCCTTCTGCCCTGACTCCTGCATCCCCCCCATACACCTAGCCCCCTGCCCTGACTCCTGCACCCCCCACACATACCCAGCCCCCTGCCCTGACCCCTGCACCCCTCTCACACACACTCAGCCCCCTGCCCTGACCCCTGCACCTCCCTCATACCTCCCCAGCCCCCTGCCCTGACTCCTGCACCCCCCACATCCCCACCCCTATCCTAAGCACCAAACAGGAGCTGCCCCAGGTAAGTGCTCCACACCCCAACCTTCTGCCCCAACCCTGAGACCCTAGCTCCTGGCCAGACCCCGCACCCCAACATCTTTTTACAATATTTGGAAAGATCATTAAGTGGTCCATCGAGACCCTCTGTGATTTTCAAATGGTCTGTGGAAAAATAAGTTAGACTACAAGAACAATCAAGGTACCTCACTTTATTTTCATTTACTTGCTATTACTTATAGGAGGAGGATGAAGAAAAAAAGAATGAAAAAGGGGGTCTGGGCGAGATAAGAGAGAATGTTCTTTTTCTTGGCTGGGTCCCAAGGAAGGGCCCCAAAAATGAAGCTGAGCACAGGGCCGGGGGGCCCCACTAACTCTAAATCCACCACTGGCTGTCACGTCACCTGGGCTGAGGATACTGTGTCAGCTGAGCCCCACAGTCGCCAACTTACCTGGGCAGTACAGCAGACATGGCCCTGCCCACTAGCGCCTCTCCACTCCCTAGCCCACCCACCACTTCCTCCCCCTCCCCACTTTAAGGCTTAGCCCTCTCACTTTTAAAAATGATTGCTTGTCCTCCCCCCCCCAAGCTTTTCTGGCAGCCCTGTTGCCAGGTGTCCAGTTTTAGACTGGAAACTCCAGTAGGAAACGGGACCTGAGTGTCCGGTTAGCAGTGCTGACTGGAAACTAAAAGTCCGGTTATAGGAGTAACCACATTAGCCTCCACCCCTCCCACTCCCAACACCCACCCCAGAGGGCAGGAAGAGAACCTGTCTTGCTGCTGCGGGAGGAGGGGCAGCTCAGTGGAGAGAGAGATGAAGAGAATGGGCTAGAACCAGGTAGGTGCCCATTCTATGTGGGCAGGGGTGTAGGGGGGAAGATCCTGTTTACCCCCTCCCCAGCCCTGCTGTGCTTGCAGTTTACCCCTGGCCCCTCCCTTGCTCCAGGAACCAACACTAGCTCCTGCCCCACTGTGCTTTTGCCCCTAGCCCCTTTTACAATCATTCCCCGGGGGGGGCCACAAATATGTTTGGCACTGGGCCCACAAAAAGTTAATCCGGCCCTATTCAGCAACCCCATATATTTGGCGAGACGATTTGGAGGGATGGACTGAGGTGACCCCGATTTGGTTAACTAGTGTGATCTGCTGTAATTTGGTCTCTCTCTTGAATTTCATAGTAATTCTATTACCAAGGAGAAAGAAACACAATCAAGCTACTGCCACATCAAAGCATATTGTCTGAAGGATTTAGAAGCAGTTACTATCTTCTCTCAGTTCTTCTCCATATGACAAGAACCTGTCCTTCCTTAAGCACTCACACAATTAACGCTGACATTTGCTCTTTTCTCCTTTGAATTAATCACACCAATTTCCAAGCCTCTTACAAGTTCATGCCATAATGAAGAGGTGGGGGATAGAGAGAGAGAGAGAGAGAGACCAGGCACACTCTGGAACCATCACTACTGCCATTTTTTACTATAAGCATCTATTTCCATTTAATAGTGCTGCTTCTATATGGCATACTTATGAATGTACCATATCAATACATACTTCTCCATGACACATGGTACTAACCATAAATATTGTTGGGCTTGAAATATTGTGTAATTATCTCCATGAAAAAACTGTAACAATAGATTTGGAATTAGTTATAGTGATCTGTAAATGGGAGTAATACTACACAAGTCCCTCCAAGCAATTACCAAGGCTTGATGTTGCCTGTATTCCACCTGTCCTAAGCTATGTTAAATCACACTACCAGAAATTCTTTGTCTCATCGGGCATTGAATACAGCTACACAGCTGGCTGCTTAAAACACAGGCTCATTAGTTTTCTAAAAATTGATCAATCAATAAGAATTTCCACATCCAATTTCTCTATCCCTCCACCAAGGTACCCAAATCCTGACGGTGTATTTTTCAAATCTAGTTGCAGTGTGCCTGAGATTTATCTTCAGGCCTGCTCAAAACAGAAAAAGGAGGGAAGAAACAAGCTCTTCCTCCTTAAACAACTGCACAAATCATCAGGTTTGCATTAAGACTTGGAGGGGCTTGCAATGTACGGTTTGTTCTAAATTGCTGCAATTCCTTTTTCTAGTATCTGGTTTCAATGCAAAGCTTGAAGCAGCTACTACTGGTCAAAAGGACATTTTGTAAATGTAAATCTGGGATTATCTGTGCAAATAAAAATGTCCAAATTTAAACCCTCTGTTTCCCACCACAGAGAAAATGACTGGGTCTAGTACTGAAAAGCTTTCTTTGTGTGGAACAAATGGGCAGAAAATTTGCTTTCCAACTTATTTTTTATTAGAGCCAAATCCAGATAATTTGCTAGGATCTATGGGCTTTAAAGAAAACACAGATGTCCCACTTTAAATCAAGAAAGTACCCTAAAATTCAGAGAGACACTTTGAGCTGGAAGAGCTTCTGGTATCTTGGATAGGTGATGAGTAAAATCCACTATGGATCATGCATCGTGACTCTAAATTAGAAACTAAGAACAAAACTTTCATTCCTACTTTTCTGAAGTTAGGCTCCTAAATCCACACTGAGTCATCTAAATAAAAATGCCCTTTTACCTTAAGGGCAAATTTTTAAATTTAGTTGTCTAACCTGCATATACTATCCTCTCATACCTATAAGAGGTAGTGGTGAGCAAGATCCAAATCATATTGTACTCACATAGTTTTTACTCAGTCTCAAACTGGAAGTGTGTTTGAGTAAGGACAAAAGCTCTGAGCCTGCAAATACATAATGCACATGCTTAACATACACACATAAGTAGTCCCCTTGAAACCAGTGAGATTGCTCACATGTAAAGTTAAAACATATATGCAGGATTAGGGCCTAAGGATTTGGCTGTAAGTACTTGTTAGCAAATGCATCTAGGGGATTTCAGTTCATAATTTAGCCAGAGAGTTTTGAAAATTTGGCTCTTAAGCACATAACTTTAGGCACTCAGGTATGAAAATTTTGGCGTGTGTTGACAGGCACTATGGAAAAACTCTCTCTAAGATAAGTACACTACATTAAGGACCGTGATAATGAACAGCTGTTTTTTAAATTTTTTTGTTTTTTGAACTTTTATACTTTCCTATTTGTTATTTAGTCACTTTTTATTTTTAATAAACAAACATTTCTACATTTATAGGAAACTAGTAGCACTTCATAAATTTGAGCTAATCCCTGTACTGTATTTTACTGTAAATAACATAATTCAGTAGTTATGCCTGTGGATGGGGTATGGAGGGTGTAGTGAGTTTGCCTTTAGCTCTGCAGCACAGCATTGAAAATTTCGCTTAGGTCACAAGTGGATAAAGAAAGCTGTTTGATTTTATTCTAGATCCCATTAGTGAATGTTACTAAACCATCACCTACTGTCACGTGACTGTCAATCTCTACGGAAGAGTAAATCAGGCCTGGAATAATGTTTTCTCTTACTTCGGCAAGCCGGAATCTCACAGTATTTCCAATACACTCCATCCTCACACTCTGCAATGTAGCACCAGGGGCTGACATCTCCATCAGGGTTCCTATCAAGGGAAGGAGACACCAAAAATTTGTCAAACATTTTTGTGAACCACATACAGATCCTTCATTTTTATTTTAAATCTAAGGCTTCATCGCTATCATTATTTTAATTTGTATTGCAGTGTTTCAGCTGGTCTGTCTTTCCAAGAAGAAAATAGTGGAGAATAGAATGGTAAGAACTACTGAGCTAATGGTGTACTGGGAAAACCAAAGGAATTTACACTGGCTGATTTTTGGTAAATCAGAAAAAAGTAATAGTATTACAGTAAGATCTTCAAATTCCTGGTAAAGTCTGAGCTTAATGGTACAAACCATGGAAATGCTCAATACCATTTTACCCTCACTGCCAAACCACTGATCACCCTATAGCCCAAGGCAATACAGTAAAATCCGCACTTCTGAGAGTTTCTGTGCCTTTGTTGGGTCAAAAGTATTAATGAATTCAGCTATAATGCTCAAGCACAGGAGATTTTTCAGGAGTGGTTGAGAGGACAACCCTGTCAGCAAATGTTTATGAAAGAAAACAAAAAGGGCCTTTTTACACACGATGCAGGGAAGTAGAGAATCAGTCCCAAAGGGACAGTAGGACTATTGAGAATTTACACCACCAAAAAAGGTACTTGTCCAGCTAACTTCCTAAAAATGATCGACTGATTCTTGAACTCTTAAAGATGCAGTACTATTACTGGATGCTACTGAAAGAGAGGGTGCTGCCAGCAGGGTATCCTCTGTGAGAGTTCTGGGACTCTGGAACATGGTTCCTGCATTAATACAAAACAGCCCAAACTTGATGACTTTCTCGGCTTGCTGCAAAATAAATTTATTTTACAGCATTTTGGGGAATGTTTGAGTGGGTTAGGGAAGGGGGTCTGTTCTGCAGCTTTGATTTATTGCCTGGTTGGGCTAATTAATTATTTGTATATGATATTTTTGCTGCTGTATGGTATCACTACAATTGCAAATCTAATTAATTGTTAGCTTTCTGTTTGGGCATTTTAAAAATTATTTTAATCTAAATGAAATAAGAGAAGACTAACAGAATAAATTCATCAGGCATTAGCCTTTCACTCCTGGAGGGTTAGGTTCAGATTTGCCCTCTGTCCAAAACCAAAGCCAGCTACTTATCTCTTCTTGGAGAACATTTGTCACTGTCAAAATTATCCTACAATTTGCCATGACCTGCCTTTTGTGTCTGAGACATGCTGGACTGAAGGAGCACATATGTTGCATGGTAAGGTTAGGGTGAACTAGCAAAGCTTTGTGGGAGATCCAGCATTAGAACTGCAAAGGGTATTGCAGCTAAAGAATGAGGAGCTAGAAACAATTGCCAGAATTAGGGGAGCATGATAGTAATAGCAGGGTTGCTGCCAGTCAGGATCTGAGATGCATTGGTAGAGGTACTGGGGAAGGAAGGCCCAAGAATAGGATAGCAGAGGTTATTTTTTGTCAGGACTGAGGTATGGTGGCAGAGCTTGCTGGAGGCTGGTGGATGCGGAAATATATCAGCAAGGGGCTGTTCTAGTTGATAAAGGAGGTCCATTGGTGGAGCTGTGAGAGAGAAGCTTGTATTGTGATAATACAGTCTTTTTCTCACCTTAGCAGTTTTTGGAAGTGTTACTGTTGTACCTGCTATCTGGACATCAAATGCTTTTAATTAAATCATGCTAATAGGATTTAATGCAGAAACATCTTAAAATGCAAGGAAAGTGTAGACAGATGGTTGTTAATAGCTTTGGAAATCTTTGCCTTGGTTCCCAGAGGTTGCATGGAGACAAAGAAGAAATGAGTGTCCCTCAGGTCTTCAACTCCGCAGTCTGCCTAATTCTGTTATAGCAGAAATGAGGTTTTACAGAGCATTATGAGATATTTCAATTTCCTAACACAAAAAGTGTTGCAACCAACACAGGAGAATTCTATATTAGACCTAGTCTTGACAGATAAAGAGGAATTGATCACAGAACTAAAAATTAATGGTAGATTAGGTACAAATGATCATGACTTGATCACATTTGTAATGTGCAAAGAGAATACAGTCCAAACCGGTAATACATAGCTTAGGTGCTTTAAAAGTCCCAATTTTACAAAGCTCAAAACAATTATGAGTCAAATCAGTGTGGAGAAAGAATTCAATCAAAAAAATCTGAATGATAATGGGGAATTGTGTGTGGGAGATGGGGAAATTGAAAGTGATGAATATAAATCAGAAACTAGGAATTGTAGAAAATTGATAAAGAAAGCAAAGGGAAAAAGGCAAACTCCATAGCAAGCAGAGTTACGGACACTAAGGAGAAGTTTCCCTCCTTAGTCGTCTTTTTTCCAAGCTGAAAAGTCCCAGTCTTATTAATCTCTCCTCAGATGGCAGACGCTCCATACCCCTAATCATTTTTGTTGCCCTTTTCTGAACTTTTTCCAATTCTAATATATCTTTTTTGAGATGGGGAGACCACATCTGCATGCGGTATTCAAGATGTGGGCGTACCATGGATTTATATAGCGGCAATATGATATTTTCTGTCTTATTATTTATCCTTTTCTTAATGATTCCCAACATTCTGTTCACTTTTTTGACTGCCACTGCACATTGAGTGGATGTTTTCAGAGAAAAATAGTAAGGAAATAGTAAGGTCTGTAAGAACATCTGGACAGCATCTTAAGGTATACAAGGTGAAGTGACAGGAATAGAGAAATTGCCAAAGAGCAAAGGGACTGTAAACCAGAAAGGAGCAGAAGGATAATTGTTCAGTCAAGAAGCCAACAGATCACATCAAGAAATAGATGTGTGTACTTATGCTGGAAATCAAAACAGTAAACAAAGATTGCACCAGAGTCGTCGCTCAAGATGTAACTAAACATCCTAAGAACTTTCCCTCCAAACTTTGCGCTTACAGAGGTTGGCAACCAAGAAACTGAAAAGGGAACTGTAGCGGGGCAGTCACCCCGCTCCAACCCTGAAGGGGTTAAAACAGCCCTGGGAAAGGACTGCCCCAGGGAGCCAATCATGGGCGGGCTTGAGGCAGCCAATCAGGGCCCGGCTGGGCCAGTATAAGAAGGACTTCTCAGGAGAAGGCAGGGAGTCTCTCTCTAGCTGTGGAGAGAGAAGGACCTGGCTGCCGGGGAGCTCAGGATACCGAGTAGAGCAGGGCTGGGGAAAGGCAAGAGGAGCTGGGGAGCTCCAGCCTGGCAAATCCCCAGGCTGCGGGCCTTGCTAAAGGCCAAAGCCAGTACAGGGGTTGCAGAGGCACAGCCCGGGCTTAGGCAGAGGCGCAGCCCGGGCTTAGGCAGAGGCAGCTGGTCCAACCCCCTTGCCAGTCATGAATGGCCATTACAGACTGCAGTCTGCCCCAGGGAGGGGGGGCTAGATGATGACTGGAAGTAGCCACTGAGGCAAGATGGGTTTAGAGGGTTGGGGGTTCCCCTGGAAGGGGAGACCCAGAGCATGGGGGTACTGCTGGGGCAGAACCCTGAGGTAAAGGGCACTGGAAAGCAGGAGGGACATGGGGCCAGTGGCAGGTGACACACTGGCCAGCAGAGGGTGCTCCAAAGCTGGAGTTGAGCTAATTCCCAGGATGACCAGCAGGAGGTGCCGCGCCAGTGAGTATCACTTCGCTACAGGAACATACAATGACAGGGTTTATGTTCTAGTGCATTGTATTTTCTAATTCAAATTCTTTTATTTCATACATGTAAATTGTTACCTAGAAAGTGAATTTAATTAGGATAATAGTAGTTAATATACAGTAGATAACCTTACTAGTTTACAGTGTAAGATTAAGTAGTAGTTCCTCCTAAAACAACTAACTCTGATTTACTTGTGATTACTCATCACTTAACTAATTTCTGCTTTACCCCAACTGATTGAGATAAAACACAATTTGGCCTCTAGATGGCATCTGCCTCTCTTTAGTGCTCTGATTCAGACCAGCTCTCCATTGAGCTCATTATATCTACCTGGAGAACAGATCTCTGATAAGAGGGCTCTTCAGTCAAGCAAAGAAATGTGATCCAGTGGCTGGAAGTTGAAGCTAGACCGGGGTTCTCAAACTTCATTGCACTGCGACCCTTCTTCTGATAACAAAAATTGCTTCATGACCCCAGGTGGAGGGACCAAAGCCCAAGCCCAAGGGCTTCAGCCCCAGGTGGGGGGCCTGTGATCTGAGCCCCGCCACTAAGGGATGAAGTCCTTGGGCTTCGGACCCAGGCAATGGGATTTAGGCTTCAGCTTTGACCCTGGGCAATGGGGCTCGGTCTTCAGCCCCCGACAGTGGGGCTTGGTCTTGGTCTTCGGCCCCTGACCCCAGCCCTGGCAACCCCATTAAAATGGGGTTGTGACCCACTTAGGGGTCTCAACCCACAGTTTGAGAACCACTGAGCTAGACAAATTCAGACTGGAAATACGGGATACTTTTTTAACAGAGTAATTAATCACTGGAACACTCTACTAAGGGGCATGGTGGATTCTCCATCAGTGATGAGTTTTTAAATTAAGATCAGAAGTTACACCCTAGGAATTATTTGGGGGACGTTGTGTGGCCTGTGCAATATAGTTGGGCAGACTAGATGACCACAATGGTCCCTTCTAGCCTTGGAATCCAAGAATTTCCATGTTATAAGGATACTGTGCAATGAAACCTCTTCTCTCTTTGTATACAAATAAAGTATGACAAATATTCCAGCTAGGGTATGATTGTGGGACCTAGCATCTTTCTGACTAAGGATATAATAAACCTTTTCATTTTTACAGCATCTCCCAGCCAAAGAACTCAAAACACTTCCCAAACATTAACAAATGTAACCTCAAAACACTCACATGAGGTAGGTTAGTGGGGGGAAGAAGTGATTTATCCATTGTCACCCAGCAAATAAGTGACAGAACAAGGAACAGAACTCAGATATCCTGCGTCACAGTGATTGTCAAAGCTATTTACCAAGAGACTATAGTTTTCAAAAGAATCCATCAATCCTCCTTCAACACACCTGAAAGGCTATTTCTCAGCATAGTGAT